GGGCCCCCCCGGGGGGGGGGGGGGAGCCGGTCTCTGCAGGGGCTCACGGTGTGCTCCAACACCCTGGCTGGGGGCCTGAGCCTCCTGGGCGTGCCCAGTGCAGGGGCCCAGGCGTGTGGGCTGCCCCTTACTCACTCCCCCACCCCAGGGTTAAGGGAAATGGGGCTGGGAGCCAGGGCTCCTGGGTTCCCCAGCTCTTGCAGGGCAGAGGTGTCTAGTGGTTGGTGGGAGCCAGGGCTCCTGGTTCACCCCAGCTTGAGGAAGGAAGTGGGGATCTCGTGGGGTAGAGGAGAGGGCTGCGAGCCAGGACTCCAGGTTTCCGCTCTGGTTGGGGAAGCGCAGTGGGGTCTAGTGGTTAGGGTGGGGGATGCTGGACACAGAGCGCCTGGGCTCTCTCCGCAGCTCTGGCAGGGGGGTGAGGTCTGGTGGGCTGGAGCAGGGAGAGCTGTGAGCCAGGACTACTGGGTTCTCTCCCGGACACCGGGGGGTAGTGGAGCCTACTAGTTAGAGAGTGCGTGGAGCGGGTCTAGGAGCCAGGACTCCTGGGTCCCATGCAGGACCCTGTTCTGCCGGGCAGCCGGGCGCTCCCTGTGTCTTCGCGGGCCGGCTCCCTGCAAGCTGTCAAATCAAGGTGTGGCCTTACCTGCATGCTGGTCTGGTTGGGGGAGGGTGACGCCATGGGCCAGGGAGCTGTGGGCAGAGAGAGACCAGGGCTTGCTCCGCGAGCCGTCTGCAAGGCTGGGGCTCTGCAGGCTGCGCGGAAAGTAGGAAGTCGGGTTAGCCAGGGCGCTGGCAGGAAGCGATTAGATGTCCCCCTTCTCGCGGGGGAGTGGGGGGGCATGATCCCCGCCCTGGCGGGGGGAGGCCTCAGGTGCCGGGGGAGGGGCGGGTTCAGCACAGAGCCAGAGATAAGGGCTGGGAGAGACCTCGGGAGACCGCTGGGGCTCTGCAGGCTGCGCGGAAAGTAGGAAGTCGGGTTAGCCAGGGCGCTGGCAGGAAGCGATTAGATGTCCCCCTTCTCGCGGGGGAGTGGGGGGGCATGATCCCCGCCCTGGCGGGGGGAGGCCTCAGGTGCCGGGGGAGGGGCGGGTTCAGCACAGAGCCAGAGATAAGGGCTGGGAGAGACCTCGGGAGACCACCTGGCCGGCAGGACCAGCGGGGCAGCCTTGGGCCGGCGTTTCCTGAAGGGGGCAGGGTGGGCTGGCAGAGGGGGCCGGGGGTCTGGGTCTCCTACACCCCCTAAGGGACGATGGTCTCTGACGGACGAGCACCCAGGATGCTGGGGGAGAGGGAGGGCGACGTGCCCCTCTTGGATATACTGCACCGGGTGGATAACAGCTACACTAGCGCTGCCAGCGAAGGGAGCCGCTCCGCAGAGGGGATATACCTGGGCAGCTGGCTCTGGGGCCTGCAAGCCTCAGGGCAGCCCCAATTCCGAGCAGGGGCCCGAGAGCGATTCAAGTGCCCCCTGACAGCGACGGCTGGGCCCTTGCCCGGGTTCCCAGGTGATGCCGCGTCCTGGCGTCTCTTCTGGCCCTGCCACCGATTCCCTGGGGCAAACTGGTCCAGCTAACGCCGCCCCCGGGCCTGGGTTTCCCCATGTGGATGAGCAGGGGTCAGCTGGCGGTCCCGACAGGCGCTGCACAGACAGGCCCTCTCTGAGCAGCACCCAGGCTAAGTAGGCAAAGGCCGGAAGGGGAAACTGAGGCAGCAAAAGGAGAAGAGACTTGGCCAAGGTCACCCACGAGCTGGGGGCAGAGTCCTGGCTGCACTGTCCTTACTCACTAGGTCACTAGCTGCATTTCCCAGCCCCCTTGCAGCTCAGCACCGGTGTCCCGCTCCAGCTGCCATCTACTCCTGCCGGTAACAGTGAGGGGCCGGGATGGGCGCCGGCCTTGGAGCAGCAGCCATTAACCCCTCGGGCGCTGCAGGAGGCCAGGTGGTGGCAGCTCTGCAGCAGAGTGTGTGCAAGGAGATCGCTATCTGGCCATGGTTGCATTTGGGGTTTTGCTTTCGACACCTCGTTTCCTGTTGTTCAGGAGGTCCCCTGCTGCAGGGCGGCCAGGGGCGCACTCCCACATCTCGAGATGGGGGACAGCGGGAGGGGGGGGCCCTGGGCAGGTGCTGATGGGGAACTGAATCAGGCCCAGGATGTGTCAGCTCAGCGCGGGCAGAGAGTGGAGGGCACCGGTCAGCCCAAAGCAGGAGGCTTGATCCTTGCTAAGGTCAAGGGGTCATAGATCCACTGGATTCAGTGGGCCAGATCCCAGTTGGGTCAATGGGCCGTAGCTCCATTGGAGTCAATGGGCCAGATCCCAGCTGGGTCAATGGGCCGTAGCTCCACTTGAGTCAATGGGGCATGTCCCTGCTGAGGTCAATGGGCCATAGCTCCAGTGGAGTCAATGGGCCAGATCCCAGCTGGGTCAATGGGCCGTAGCTCCACTTGAGTCAATGGGGCATGTCCCTGCTGAGGTCAATGGGCCATAGCTCCAGTGGAGTCAGTGGGCCAGATCCCAGTGACTCCAATGGAGCTACGGCCCATTGACCCAGATGGGATCTGGCCGATTTGGGGCAATGGGCCGTAGCTCCACTGGAGTCAATGGGCCAGATCCCAGTTGTGTCAATGGGCCATAGATCCACTGGAGTCAGTGGGCCAGATCCCAGTGACTCCAATGGAGCTACGGCCCATTGACCCAAATCGGCCAGATCCCATCTGGGTCAATGGGCCGTAGCTCCACTGGAGTCAATGGGGCAGATCCCAGCTGGGTCAATGGGCTGTAACAGCATTGAATCTGGGCCGATAGACTTGGAAGCTGTGTGCTGAGGGGGAGCCCAGGTCTTGGGTAGCAGGGAGCTGGTGATCAGGAGTGGGGGGCGCAGTGGAGCTGGGCGTGCGAGTGGACCAGGGGGCTGCCGGGCGGGAGTGACAGGCTTGGCGGAGCTGGGCGGAGCCCTCTTGTTGATACACCACCTGCCAGAAGGCCCTGGCACCAATTGCCCGGTGTCTTGTTCCACCAGTCGTGCTGCGGGGAGGCAGGCTAGGCAGGTCTCACCCGGGCGGGTTACTGGCTTACAAGCATGGGGTGGCCAGGACAGAGGATGGCTTTAAACCTGCCCCCAGTAGAATGAACGATGCACTCAGCAGGAGCAAGGTCCCCCCAGCATGGACAGTCCGACTGCGGCGTGACTGTGCCTCTGCCAGGCCTGTCCGGAGGGCACAGGCTACATCAGCCCACGCCCAAGCTGCAGGCAGGTCAGCCACCCGTTGGATGCATCAGTCCTTGGACGGCCTGGGCTTGCAGGCTCCGCGCGTGGTGCTCAGCCTGAGCTGCCTTCCCCGGTGTGTCCCAGTGTGTCCAGTAGGCACAGGTACCGCCTTGTCCAGTGAGCCCCATGGGGTGGCCGGGCCAGTTACGCTGTTGCACGGCCGGTAAGTGGAGCGTCCTAGTTGCAGGGAGAAATTACCCAAAGCAAACCCTGCCCGCTCCCAGCATCTTCCCCCCTCCAGAGCCTGGCCACGGGCTGATCCCTCCCCCCGGCCACCCAGTGCTGAGGGGCACCGGTAGGGGCGGTGGTTCTTGTGGCCTCCTGCCCAGGTATTGCAGGCCCTGCCCGGATAGCCCACCCCCAGACCCAGACCGTGGGGGGGCAGGGGGGCAGAGGTCCAGTCCCCTTGGCGATGCCCGTGATGGGGAGGATACAGCAGGTAGCGCGTGTGCCCCAGGGTTGTGTGCCAGGTGGCCCAGTGTCCTTTCAGTGCTTGGTCGCAGGCTCCCCTCCAAAGCCTGGTCTTTGCACTAGTTACCAGGTCGGCCACGGGGGCCTCGGGGATGTTTCGCAGGGTTAACCCACCTCCCCCAAGAAATGATCGGTGGTGCTAAGGGCCGGTCCCTGCAGCACCCCCCCCCCACCCAATAGCCCCAGAGCATGTTCCAGGCATTGGATTCGAGCAGAGGAATCAGCTTCTTGCAGGGAGCCCCGTCCCTCCCAGGCATGGCCGGCAGGATCGTGCCCCTCCGGGGGCTCCTGTCACCCGAATTCTTCATGGCCCCCCAGCATCTTTCCTCCTGCTTTGGCAAGCTGGGAGCAGAGAGCAAGTGTGTTACCAAGATGCCAGTCGGGGGCCCAGGGTGGCAGGCGGTTTGCAGACCCCGGGCATTAAGGACCGCAGGCCTCAGCGGGAGGTGGGCCCATGGAACTAGGTGTGGAACTGACAGTTTGGCCTGGAGAGGAGGGGGTTGAATTCGAACCCATCTCCCTTTATTCCAAACAGGAGCAGCACAGCGTGGCCGATAGCAGGGCACCGTGCCTGTGGCGGTCAGGGGACTCCAGCGGGGGCAGGGAGAGGGCGAAATTCCCACCTGATGCCCCTTGTGCAAGACTGGCATTGGTCAATACTGGGCCGATGCGCATTCGTTCCGGGCCGCCGCAGGCAACATCCCCTCTTCTTTCACACAACACACAACCATGCTGCACCGAGACAGAGCCCACACGGCGAGCACAAGCCTCAGTCCTTGTCCCCACCATAGACCCGGGATCTTTTCAGCTGCTCTTCAGCCGGTACCAGCTCTGTCTGATGTTCCGAAAGCCAAAAAGAGCATTTTTCTAGGGGGTAGGGGGAGTGGCGCAGGAGATCTTACAATGCTCCTTTCTTTTACAGAGTCTTGCTGGTTCCTTTATTTGCCTGTAGCTACCCCAGTGCTCGCCTGTACTTTTGTTCTATCGGCAGGCTGGGTTTCTTCTTCCCGTGAAGGATCGCGGGGGAATGATCCCAGTGTTCAATCGTTACAGTAACGAGGTGATGTCTCTCCGTTTCCTTCTTCTCCTGCAGACAGGGTGTGTTTCCCACCACCACGCTTCAAGGCCTTTTTCCAACCGAAAATCGTATGCCCGATGCACTGTTCCAAGGGTGACATTAGCCTGCAAGTGCACTGCCTTCCTGGGCCCCTATTAACGCCTCCACGTCCCCACACCCCAACACACTGAGCGGGCTGGGCCGGCGCCCTGTGCTCCTGCAGCCTGGGGCCGTGCAGACTCCGCCGCACCACGCGGCCTCGGGGGGGCCTGTGAGTTTTCTCTCCCTCCTTGTCTAGTATGAGCAGAGCAGAAGCTCTCTGGTTTCTCAGGAACTGACAGTGATCGGGAGATACTGAGCCGAGGCACCTGATCCTCCTGATAGTGGCAGCTTCCTTTCTGAGGCCAGGGCTGGGGCATCTGGGCGCTGCGGTACCCACACCTGCTCGCAGCCGGAGGGGCTGGCGCGTGTTGTGCCTCTGATTTCATCAGCGGGACGGTGCTTGTGGCACTCCCACCTCGCAGTCCTACCAGTGCTTGTGCCGGATGTGCAGGCAGGGCGGCAAGGGTCCCCCCCCGGCATGGGACAAGCCAGGGGCCTGAGCGTCAGGGCGGCTGCCCGGCCTGGCTTTGCCAGTGGCTCTCCTGCCCGGGGTAAACCTG